TCTGCTCCTGAAAAAGAGTGAGTATATTAGAAATGAACCACCGTGAATTATTCTGAAAATGCAATTCTCAGAAATGGTCGAAAATAGAGATTGGGGATTTTTATGAGAAATAGTTCACTATGTTCTGAATATTCGAGATAATTCTGTAGCCTGAGTGTTCACCATATTATGTTGCCACGGGTTCTTTCGAATTATGAGACGATAGTCAGAACAGGGTGGTATTTTTCTAGACTATTCCACCTTGACGAAGCATAAAAAGCATGTATTATAAATGGGCGATTGAGTCTCACAACTACAGCTATAATTATTTCATGCCACACTGACAGATTTTGCTTCGCTATATCCATGGTTACATCGTTGAAAACACCAACGCTGATACCGATCAGAATTGAAAGACGGCTATAGTATTTTCGCGATAAGACAAGTTGTCTATGGCTTGTGATTAGTCAGGTTATGTGATGAGTGAGATAATCACTAAGACACTCTCAAATTCATCTTGTACTTTCAACTCCATTGTTCGTTACTATCCGTTTTCAATGGATAACGGCGATATGATGATATAGCTTGAAACATTTTGTGTCACTATCCATTCTTGTTCTCAAAAACCAATCAGAATCGACCATTTTCATGAATTTTCCTGTATTGCAGCGATATCTTTTGTTGACTGAAATTTATCAGACTTGCTCTACCAATAAAGAAGCCAAATTGACACACATGTGCGACCAACCAACCTCGTTTTACAGCGTCAATTTAACTCATGTATACAATTTTCCATAGGTCGTTGTTATATTGTTATTATAACAACGAAACAACTTTGCTCTTTTTTGCAGCGATGAATCAACTTTTACACGGAAAACGCCGTTTGACGACGACGTGAGTGATTTTGACATCGATAAATAAGGGATGCACCTTTTTTATCGCTGATAGACTGCCTGCTCCTCTAATATCTTAGCTATTTGCGCCTGATGTCACAATTTCTGTCGTGTCAAGTTTAATTGATGATTGATGGTTCACGCATAAATTAGCAAAATGAGCCGTTTCCGGAAAAAATCGTCTGGAGAAACCACGGAATTCAATTTCGCAAACTACCAGTTACACGGAATCATCAGTGAAGGTAATCATTATTGTTGTTTATTCGAATATTGTCGTTGATTTATCTTGGCAAAAAACACTCGAACTTTTTTTCAACTGCATAAATCTCCTCAATGACTCGAACATTTTCAATCAGTTATTTCTCTCGAAAAACTGATATTAAACAAAAATTTTTCATGTCAGTTTTTCTCGTAAAATTACTGATCGGCAAATGTTTTTGGTTACCAAGAGGGATTTGTACGATAAAAAAGAGCTCCTGTGTTTTTACTGGTGACAAAACGGAACCTACCTTCTGAAACCATATGACAACCAGAATTGTGAACAAATCTTTGATGCCGTCTATGTCAATGTTTCTCAATCTTGCGTCGTCAGAATAGTTCATAATCTTTGAAATTGTCGCGATTTGAAGTAGAGACAATGGAAAACCATCAACAATAATGTGATTTACGCATTCCTTGAATTGTCTTACCGGATTACACTCAAGCACTTTTTATGGTCGGAGTAAACTTGACATTTTTGGTTCGAGTTTTGTTCCCTCCAGGAAATTCAATTCAAAAAATGTTTTTCGTTGAAATTCCAGGCAACAAAATTCTCATTGGAATATCAAGTTCACTTCGGAAAAAAAACTCTCGTATACGTGTAATTACAAGTTACACGTTTATATATAACGTCAATTATGTTGGAAGCCAGAATGATGGATGCAGTGTGCGCAACTCGCGCGAGGCACTTGTTTATTTTCTCAATCATGAAATATCCATACGAATACAACTCGTGATGCTATCACACCTGGAAATATCTGTCGATTGACATACTCCAGCTTGCTGCTTCAATTTTGCTCATAACATTGAAAGAACAATGTTATTCTCGAAATTATTAGGTAACAAGCTGTCGTAACAATTTCCGAATATATATTTCTGGCAAAATTGAATCACTTGTGGTATTATAAACATATGAATATCACAATACAGCAGAGGTGATCGAGAAAAACTCAATAATAATCAAATAATACTACAAGTTCATCAAACGTTTATGTTTATACGAGTATATAATAATATAATATTATATACTTTGAATTTTTATTCGACTCGGCCGTTACTTAATGGAATTCCATGGCAAATGTAAAAACTTCACTAGTTCATTGTACCAGTATATCACCTGACGAAGCTACTGTGTTAGCGAAACATGTTTGAGAATTTTGTGGAAATCTTATCGTTTGTGAAGTTTTTACATTATATACTTCATATTATATTTCATGAATATTCATGATGTCATTTTATAAATAATGTGATTGATTTTATCATGAGCAGGCTAGTACCTACTAATCGCCGGTGGTTGTATGTGGCGATTGTTAGTCATCTAAATGATTCGTGTTAGATGACAGTACCATAAAGTCTGAGCACCCCTGCAATACAATCTATGATTTTACACTTCATCACCTTGTATACCTGCTTATCATCATGCCAGTTTGAAACAAGTCGAAAGAGTCTCGAATAGTCGGAGATTTAGGACAAACTATCGATAACTAATCTGAACATACAACTGCATTATATTTTAATGAGAATTCATAACTAATTCAAATGCTGAACCTCCACCTTTGTCCTTCGTATACCGGCAATGTGCAGAGATTATCTTCATGAGTAAGGCCATTATGTTGCGTAACGCAGAAAGTAGTCCATCTTTCGGTTGTGCGTCTTTAAAGAAAGGTAACTTGTCCAGTGAGTATCTTGCAAAAGCATACGCCCCTCTTTATTAACAAAACTTATCATAAGCCCGGTATAAATAGTCCACATGGCTGACCAATTGATATAATTCTTCTGTTTCATTCCATGATGAAGACAAGCGTAAGTCTTTTAATTAGATTTCGTACCCTCATAAAAAATAATTGACATAGGTTGAAGTGAGTGCTAGTGAAGTTTTGTGACTAGAAAAAATAGTCCGACTGAATTGATTGCACCCAAATTATTCACTTATTTTCGATTTTCGGTGTCCGAAGTGATTCAATTTTTCAGTTTATCTCTATTTCTAATAATTTTCCTTCCATCAAGTACAAGAATTTCACTATCGGCTATGAAAAAGTGATATCAAGAATTGACCCTACTTGAAACACCACAGCCTTATTAGCGTTATCATTGAAACTATTCAATATCTGGAAGGGTAAATCTACTATTGAATTATCACAATGAAGATATGCGGTTTTTTGATATCATTCACTAGCACCAGATATATCTTCATATGGATAAGAATGATTGTGATTGTGTGTGATTGTGATTACATAGTATGGATGAAAGTGAGCAGAGCTGATATCGCATTTGATAATCATCCCTTCGTGTTATTCATAAAAATCATGAATCATGAATCCTTCTGCTTCTAGTGTCAATTGTTTAGTGAAAAATGTGGAATTCATCAATGTGACGAGTTATCAGGATAGTGCAATGTGTTTTGCGGTATGAAAGAATATTTTATAGATGAATAACTTCCCTTTATTAATCCAAATTTTTTGTCAACAGCATATGAGATGAATTCAATCGATTCCACGCAATAACGTATAATAATGTTGAAGAATGCCCAGTGTTCATGCACTTTTAAAAATGATACCATCGGATAATGTGCCCTGATTACAATAATTGGTGGTATTTTTATTTGTTTTAATTGTAGAGTGTATTATACTATAACATTTGTCATATTTTTTTTTATATGAAATTGATCTCGATGAAAATATCTATCTTCTACATCGCATGCTTTCCATCAACCTTGTTGCCATGAATAGTACTTGAAGATCAATGCGCGCTATTAAAAAATTAAGAGTATGCATTTGCAAATATTCATATGAACGAATATATTGATATGTATCGTGAGTTAAATTATACACTGATCTCTTTCATTTGTACCCTACGCAATGATTTTCAAAGTGAAGCAGAGTTCGAAATTTGTTTGAACTCAATTCACTGCACAGTCTGGTCTACATCCACCCTATTCTTGAAAAATTCTAGGTCACCTGGCTAAAAATCATTTTTACAATATTGCATTCTTCAACGCGTTATAAATACTCACAATATTTCGGAAAAAAAATTATTATCAGTAAGCACGCTTATTACGTTTCTCGTAATTCCTTACTGTTATTTTGATTGAACGGTATTCAGATGACAATTTAAAAGTCAATCTTAACAGCTCCGACCGTTACGATTTTTTAACGGCCATCGGCAGATTGTAATCCTATCTAATCTAATCTAACTAATCAGTTTGGTGGTCATTCACAATCATCTTCATCATTTAATCAGAATATGGATTCTTCTGCTTGCTCTGGTTTCCACTAGTGAAGTGTTCTGAAGCATCAGCTGGATGAGAATCATTCCTTTCAATATCCAAATCATCAAATAATGAAGATTATCACAAGAATACTCCACTTTTGATGCATATTCAAAGTGATATAATAATAGATCATCTCCACCTGAACCCGATCAATTTGTTCCTAATACTCAGTAGTTGATTCAATTTCTGGATTGTTGACTTATCAGATTTTTTGCTATATAGTATAACAATTAAAAATCTGAAACTGTTTATATAATAAATCAACCAAAAAAAAAATTGTCCCCATGCATGTTATTAAGTAGTGAATCAAAACAACAGAAACAATTTATACCTAGGTGTGCTTGAACTTGTAAATAGTTCATTCAGTGATAGAGAAAACAGAATCTCAAAACAATAAGAAAGAACATGTTTCTATTTGACACAGTTCTGGATGGGACCCAATCCATTGATTAACCGATATTCACCTCAAAACTTCGAATCATTCATGTGCTCCTCAAGATCATTAAGAATTCTATTTTTCTTATATTATGATGATTATAAATATCCTGGCATAATACTCAAACTATGTATTTTTATAATGATCCAGGGCTGTAATGTAGATGGAAATATTATACGGAAGCGTCTTGAAGAAGACATTTTCGATATACATAGTATATTTTAAAGTGAAAAATATTTTTCAGGTGCTTTTGTTGCTCTTGGGGGTCTCCGCTGCCTTAGCCGGGGAAAAGAAGCCTACTAAACGTGGGGTCTTTGGTGAATCCCTTGGTTACGGTGTTGGGAGCCACAACAGCGGACTTGGAAACCTCCACTCCAGCCTATCCCTTGGAACCTCATCCTTCGGACTCCAATCCGGAAATGGTAATGGCTGGAACCTAGGTGGCTCTGGATCAGGACTCTACAGCTCAGGAATAGGATATGGATCAGGCGCTGGACTGTCTCTCTCAGGAGCAGGAAGTAATCTCAACATTGGCGGATCTGGATTCGGCTCTGCGAATACCATTGACCTCGGTCAGTCTGTATCGCGCCACATCACTGTCACCAACAGAGTAGGAATTCCAGTACCGCAACCCTATCCAGTCACCGTAGAGCGCAGGGTACCAGTTCCAGTACCGCACGCAGTTCCAGTACCTGTAGACCGCCCCTACCCAGTGCATGTGCCCAAGCCATATCCAGTCACAGTTGAAAAGCGCATTCCCGTCGCAGTCGATAGACCAGTACCCGTTCCAGTCAGGGTACCCGTCAAAGTAGCAGTTCCAGTCCCATACAGGGTGGAAGTACCACAGCCTTACCCAGTGACCGTGCACAAACCAGTGCCTGTACATATTCCTACTCCGGTCATTGTCAAGAAGTTCGTGCCCGTACCAGTTTCCAGTGGATGGTCCAATTCTGGATGGTCTAATGCTGGATCGGGGTGGTCTGCTTCTGGATTGTCCGGATATTCTGGATGGTCTGGTTCGTCTGGCTTATCAGGCTCTACTGGATGGTCTGGTTCCTCTGGGCTATCAGGCTCTTCTGGGTGGTCTGGCTCCTCTGGATCATCAGGATCTTCTGGATGGTCTGGTTCTTCGGGATCCGGTTGGTCCAACAACAGATGGTAAACTACAATGATATCTGTGATTTTCTCAATATTCGATTCATCGTAAATATGCCATTTCGTCACCATTAAACTAGTCCCTCTTCTACAAAACTGAAAATAAATGAATAAAAAAATCATCACTATGACGTGTGTTTCATTTCAGAATGAACCATATCAACTGGGTTTCATATCGCTCGTATACGTTCAGCGTTATATTTCGATTTGAACGGCCTCCCCTCTATATACAGCTAGTCCAAAGAATATGAATAGAGTTTTCATTAACTTACCCTCTGAAATGCACCTTTTTGGAGATACAGTGTGTTGAAATTTGTGAAAACAATTTCATCAAAAACTGCTTTGTAATCATTTTCTACTCATTATGAGCTATGTTTTGTGCGGAATTTATTTATTTGTAAGTCATATTTGCTCAAGATTTTGAATGTGTAGTGAGTGTTTTTCTCCAAACTTCTACGCCATTAACTGATAGGCGACCCAAAACTGTACTTTTTCAGGTGGCGTAAAAGTTGAGGAATGAACACTGATTAGCCCTACAGAATCTTCATCCATTATGACTTAAAAATTGATAAATTTCGCACAAAACATAGCCTATTATGAGTAGAAAATGCTTACGAAAGCTGTTTTCTGCGTGCGATAAACGGTCCAGAGATATTCGCGAAAATCGATTATTTATGTCAACTCTCAACACCCTGTATCTCTAAGATGATGCATTTCAGAGGGGAAGTTGATAAGAACTTTTCTTAATATTTTTGGAAGAGCTATCCTGAAGTCCTGCGCATATATCAGGAAACATATATTTCAGCTATATTGGTCGTGCGATTTCTACCAAATTTGGACCAGTATGGATAACTATTGATATGGTGAGTTTTTCAGAGACGAACATCATTTCCGATAGTGCCGCGAATTTTTATCAAAACGGAAAGGGTTAAATTTCTTATGAAATCATATTAGGATTTTTCACTGAAGAACTAACCTCATTATATTGTTCCTCGTGGTTTCAAACGCCCATATGTGAATTTTTATGCATTTTCTATAGAGGGATTCAAGAAAACACGCACATCTGAATATTCCAATTTTTAGAACGTAAATAATTATTTACTCGGAAACGGTGAGTTCAACAGAAAATGTATACGAGGTGTTTCAAAATTCAGTATCAAGATTCCAGGGATTTATTCTTCAGGTTAGAATGAGCCTTTTTCATTCATGAGAGTGTGGATGCAAACTCTACGTTATCGATATACAGAACGTTGAAATTTTGAGATTTTTTATTCTCCAACACCTTCAGACAATGTCAAGAGTTATTCAGTTCCTTATTCTTCAGTTCATGTTTGAGAACTAGTGATACAGATCACAAACAAAATATGTATCGTATTTTTTAATCGTGATGGTGAAAGGTTCCACCATTTTGTTCAAAATATTTATTACATTTAGCGAATTACAAAAAAAAGATTTGTTTTCTTGATAATGGTCGCAGATGCGTGAAAATTATAGATGACAAAAAAGTTCACTTGCGAAACAATGAACTTATTTCGTTTTTTAATATCTACCAGTGGCGTACCACAAGAAAAAATATTGAGCGAAAATGGGCTTGACGACTGGAAATATCACCCTCTTGATTCTTTCAATCACTCAACATACTGTATAATGTGAACTCTTAAACGTAACCTTTGTTTCAAATTCGATTCGAATATCTCGAGAACTAGAAAGTTATAAAACAAATACATTCGAAATAACGCCTTTCAGATTGGTAACGAAGCATTTGCGGACTATTTTCAAAAGGAGAAGAACTCTGGTCTGAAAAATGAGCACCTGAAAATAGCAAACGACGTCGCGCACTTGCAATGATGCCAGTCCGTGAAGTGGTGGTAAAGAGTATATATGATTCAATCTCTTATTTCATGAGTGATAAACGCACGTTTTAGCGTTTTCATTCTTAGTCAAGAAATTTCAAGATTTCTTGTTTTCTTGACAAGAAATCTTGCTTGTCTTGTCTTGAAATCTGAAATTACTCCTTGTCTTGATCTTTTCTTGAGATCAAGACAAGATCAACACAAGATCAACACAAGATCTTGAAATTTTCAAGAAGTTGGCGACGCCTTTAGTTACGGTCGGGATAACGGTGAAGTCACTTATTTTGTGATAAGAAATACAATCCATATAAGACGTGTAAGTACTCTCTTCAAACCATCTCTTGTTCGGGAACTCATGAAATCAGGAAAGTAACGGAACATTGAACAAGCTTACGAAATATTCAAATGATTTTGTATGAAATATTCACAGCTGATTTGCGACCTCGGAAACTTTTGAAATCTGGAAAATTATGGACACTGAACAAGATTACTGGAAAAATGCCACCTAACGAAATATCCAAATACTTGTACAAACTATTCAAAGCCAATTCGCGCCTTGACCGTAACACCCTGTATAAAAGAAGGGAATTATCATATTTTCTTTAGTAGAAATAGCGAGAGAAATTCTCAAAACAATCTGATGAAGTGAATGTTCCACCTCCTCGATTAACCTTCACAAATTAATATCTTGATGAATTGTTTGTTGAAGTAATCTCTCCGAATGCATTCCATGAATGAAAACAATTCACATTATTTTATGTAACTCTTTCTCATTATACAATTTTAATATTTCTGGGGATCGTTTCATCCTGTCTGTTCGACGTGAAAAAATTATTATTGTTTCCGGTTCAGAAATTTTATCAGTTATCTAATAATCTTGAAACTATTACTCTCACAGTCTCACAATGAATCACCCATTATATAGTTCAGTTGATTATTCGAATGTTTAAACGAAAGAAAAACTGACTGATTGGCAAATTGCTTTCGTTGAGAGAAATGTGTCTGATAAAAAAAGCTCTCGTATTTTTACTGGTGACTATTCCACTCTTGATCTCGAGAACCAATCAGAATCGACCATTTTCATGGTTTCTTCTGTATTCTAGTGATATTTTTTGTTTATTAAATTTTATCGGACTTGCTCTACCAATACAGAAGCCGAATTGACCCACAAGTGACCAACTAACCTCGTTTATCAGCGATACAATTTTGACATCGTGACTGGTCAAGATTGCTTTTGATTCAAATCTGAGACAATAACCTAAGTTCCTACTTTATTTTATTTACTTATAATTCGCGTTAGTGAGATATTTTGTACGAAAGGCGAAACAATTTTATTCTGGCTGGACGTTTCATGTGTAATTTAAAAAGTTTGCATATTTGTTGACGGTCTGACACAACAATAATAGAATGAATGGGCTTATATCACAAAAAAAATTTATTTCATAATTCGATAGAACTCACCCAATCTAGCTCACCACCGCAAACCGTTTCTTGCTGTGAGCTCCCTACGTTTTATAATAAATTATTGAAATCCCCGATTTTTCGGACCTCTGAAAACGGGGCGATGATGTGACGTCAAACCCCTAATACTGAAACAAGACTATTCCAGACAGAGATGAATGATCCATGATTTCTGACAGAGTGAATTAGCGCGAGATCACAGTTGAAAGGATTAATATATCAGTTGCCTCAGTCTCCGTCGGGCGTTTGGTATTTTCTTTTAACTATGGCGAGATGAGGTTTATACGTCATAAGAGGGTCAGTTTTCAGATGGTACTATTATTTATGTCCAAAAAAAAAACATTCCAGTTAATTTTTCGATCGAATTATGTCGTCAATCATTATTTATGTATAAAAGGATCATTATAAACATGGTTTGAGTTAAAAGTTCTACTAAGGTGTACACGCCCATTCAAATTCCTTTTTGAAGTAATCTTCTTCAAATACTCAAGTAATTGTGACTGAGTATTCTGAGTAACAAAATTACTAGCTGATGTGGCGCAACTGTTAGGGTTGTTGCGCGGGGATACGAAGGTCGTTGGTTCGAGCCCACGGCGACGATATTTTTTTGTTTTTAATTATTCCATGTCACATAAATTCAATTTATTTTGTTTGAATTGGATAGTAATTTTATACACTCTTTTGAGAGCAACCATCTCCAAGATAATAAAAAAAAATACTGTTTATCAAAATTGTACATTCCACTTTGTGTATAACTATAAGTAGGTAGTTAATTTCTAAAAAAGTAAATTCTGTATTTCATTACTACCATTATGTTCTTCTTCGCAGATTGAGTTGTAATATACTTAAATTATTTTTTCTATTTCTCATATATATTGTCCTCATTCAATCATGAAATAGTCATACGAATACAACTCGTGATACTATTTTTCCTGGAAATATTCGTCGATTGACATACTCCAGCTTGCTGCTCTAATTTCGTGAATGACATTGTTATCAAAACTACGAGCCGTAGGCGAGTAGTTTTGGATCAATGTCATGAGGCAACAAGCTGTCGTAACAATCACCGAATATTTCCGGCAAAATATTATCACTTGTGGTATTATATATGATAAATCTGCTTTTCAAGAGAAAACGCCATTTCACGATGAAGTGCATCATTTTGACATCAATAAATCAACTCCAACACGAAAAACGCTATTCAGGACGACGTGAGTCATTTTGACATCGATAAAAAAGGATGCACCTTTTTTATCGCTGATAAACTGCCTGCTCCTTTGATCTATTTGCTCCTGATGTCATTTCTATTTCTGACGTGTCAAGTTTGATCGATGGGTATGGTTCACGCGGATATTAGCAAGATTAGCCGTTTACGGAAAATGTCGTCTGAAAAACCACGAAAATATGAGAAAATCAATTCCACAAACTACCAGTTACACGGAATCATAAATGAAAGTAATCATCATTGTTGTTTATTTGTATATTGTCGTTGATTTATATTGCCAAAAAACACTTGCCAAAAAACACTCGACATTTTTTTTTCAATTGGATTAATTTCCTCACTCAAACATTCTCCATCAGTTATTTTTCTCAGAAAACTGACATTAGACAAAATTGATCGACCTACGGTCTCGCAATTTTCATGTCACTTTTTCTCCTAAAATTACTGATCGACAAATGTTTTTCATTTCCAAGAAAAATTCATTCGATAAAAAAAAACTCTTGTATTTTTACTGTTGATGAAAATATGGCACCTTTTATATCACTTATATAAAAACATGAGCCGCTGAGAAATTGGAAAAACCAACAACAATGAATATTGACCATATATACAGTGGTCGACAATCGAGTCGATCTCACATCGTCATGTGATGCCTGCCTCACTCAAATCTGAACATGGATTAATATACTATAGATAGCTTTCATTGAAATGATCTCGAAAGATAGCATTATCATGTCCGATAGTTAAGCAGCCATTGAAGCGCTGAGCTCTATGAATATCAGCTATAAAATAGTTTGGGAATGCCAGGAAAAGCTGAACGAGCTAACCAACAGAAATACAGTCACCCTTCTATAGGTTCTGGATCATTCCGGAGTAGACGGAAATGAAGTAGAAAAAAAGTTAAATGACCCTTTGTGGGCCCAGAACTTTCCTGTGGGGTGAGCAACAGTACTGTGTATCAGAAGGAATTAGAAAATAAGAGGTTCAACAGAAATCAGACATCTAGGAAAATCTTCAATATATCAGACAGGCTCGAATACAACTGGTACATATAATCACGAGGGATCGAACATTATGTCAGCCTAAGTAAAAATAAACTTGATGTATACACTACTAACAAAAAATCGGCTTATGAAAGGATGACGAATGCAGTTTCTGTGGGCAAGAGAAAACCCTATCCAGGCATACTTACGGAATGTGTTCCATTACAGAACCGAAGTGCAAGACACCTAGGATGATAGGAGCTATCCTACCTGGAACCCTCTCATATCCTGAAATTCCTGAAAGATAAAGGACTAGAGATAAATTGCTATAGTTACGGGAAATGTTCTTCGGAAATCTCTGCTATCATCCCTTCACTAGCAATACCAGTCAGACGAACTAGACAAGCCCAGTCAGCACATCTTTTCGTTGTCAACCTCGAAAGATGCCGAACAGCACTTTATCAAAACTCCTTCATCCATAGAACGGCTGGGCTCTGGAATTCATTGCCTGAGGAAGTATTCCCAACAACATATAATGTCCAGAAGTTCAAAAAAAATTCCAATACCTACCTCCTATCCGTAACCTCCCTAGGAACGCACGATGTTCTTCGAACATTATAGGGATTCCCTCTCGTGCGCTCCAAGCGATAAAAAAAAAAAAGTAATATATTTGAATTCACCCATCATGCATAAAATTGAAATGATGTCTATGAGTTTTTTACTACTTTTACGGTTTCTAGATGATGACGTCATCACGCTCCTTCTTGGATCTGTGTGATTATTGAGGGACTGTCTCCATTTTCATAATCATCGTCTTCTTCACAATAAAACGTTCACAAAAATCAGTTACACTCAGAAAATATTGTTTGCCACTTCGGGATCGTTAAATATGAATTTTCCGATTATAATAATTCTTTTCCCGATTCACCTCGTCTTGGTTTCTGCAGGTGAACAATATCTTGAACTGCTCGTATTCCTGTAAAGAGAACGAGCAAAGCTATGTCTTCACCGACGATTATAACATCATCAATACCAAAGAGATACGGAAATTGCAGTGTCGTCGGCATCTCCGAGAGCCTGTTTTACTAGTATTTTTGATTCAGCGAATTTCTGTTTCAGCAAGCATAAGTAGGACCTTCACTTCAACTCTTAAGTTACAATAAAATTAGGTTCAGTAAAGATGATTAGATTTCGATGAACCAACCATTAGAAGGAGAATCGCAGTACAAGAGAATCCTTCCATGAAATATTCTTGTGTACGGGTACTTATACCTGAGCGTTTTCATATTTTTCAGCAGATTGCACTACTTTGAAACGTTACAGCTCCATTACAATCAGTCTCACAAGAAAATATTTCAGATAAAAGTAGCTAGGCAATTTTGTCTCCCATAAGATCGATGTTAGCAATTTCCATGATAGGTCTCACCAGTGAGGAGAAACTGCAAAAATAAATCATTTTTGACGCCACATCCCGCGCGAGCGTCGAGGTCGCAAATCTGAAAACTTAATAATTACAGTGAACTCTGATATACATATCCAAAAATCAAAAGTACCGAACATCTTGAAGGACAAGACTTTGCAAAATCAAATTATGGCAATCATAATTCCTGATTTAGGTATGATAATTTTTCCAGAAGTGAATATCCATACCATGGCCCTAGGTAACTATAATGTAGTGTCTAAATTCTCTGAGTGATTGTTGACCTCATACAGAGCCCTAAGAAAAATCCAGCAATAGCGAAATCGAATGAGTCAACTCAGTCTCGTTATAAAATATACTTACTAACTTGAAAATATTACTAGTTCAGTTGAACTGGTTCATATACAACCAAATCCGTATTATCACGACTATGATGAAACATTGTGATTATATAATTATTTATTACACAAGGGGCAGAAATATTAGATTTTAGCTCGAGGTTATGTTGTCAAAAAAAAAAGAAAACGTGCGCTTTTATTTTTTTCGTGCATAATACAAAGTGTCTTCTGTGACAGAAAGAAGATCACGGAAGGTTTGTGACTTGACGCCGGAGTCTCAATCTGCCTACTCCCCAGATCTCGTCACTGGTTCTCTCTAAGGTCTCAATCTGCCTGCTCCTTCGAGTTCTCTCGAAGGAAAGCAAGTCACATAGCTGCCGTGATATCAACTGAGGAGTTGGCAGATTGAGACCCCAGTGAAAAATCACTCACTATATATTTTCCTGTCATCTTTCAGTTTTCAGTTCTTGAAAATTGCTCCCAAATCGGTGCTGTGCTGAAATGTCGAACATCTACAGGTTCTATACGCGGTTCAACCGAACTTCTAGGTTTCATTTGTATCTATATATATTATATATATATTTTTCCCGTTGGGAAAAAGTGATTCATGGGAAGTGACATTTCAAAACCTGTCAACAGAGATGAAATTTCAGAATTTGTTTCCGCCACAAAAACAATAATTTGTTTGTTCATGATGGTAACATGAAACATTGTCAGTGTTACAATAAATAGAGGTATCTGGTGTGCCTTAATTTTTTAGTGTAGGGGTGCCAGGAGTAAAATTTCGGAATTTATTGTTTGCATTATAATTTTCATCATGAAAACATAGGAATTTATATGCTAAGAATCTCTCACACGTGCCAAAATTGTAGATGTTACAGAGTATATCCAGTATTCGCAATATTTCATCAAGGCAACTCAGTATAGGAATCGTAATATTCTGTATATCTGTATACCTTCCATATAGTTCACCTCATTGAACGTCCAAATTAATGGATTGGAAACAACTCTGACATCAGTAATATATTGAATGTTATTTATGGACACTTAAGATTGATCAGATAATTATTAAGTAGTGATTATCTGCCTGTATAGTTGGATCAACATAACATGATGATGATAACAATCGGGACATGCATATCAGCCGAAGAAATTTGGCGATGTGTTAATCACTGAAAATAACTATTAATTAGTATCTTTGTGTTTTGATGAGCTGGATAGTAACATCGTTCTCGGAGAATTTGTAACAACTGTCGAAATCGTCAGATGTATTCACGTAACAAGGACGTTCTCAACATCAATTTTGGGTATAAAAGTTAAATTTTTGCTGAAATTATTATCAGTTTCTCATCAAATACGAACTCGAGCATCATGAAGACTGTGGTGAGAAAACATTGAATAAATTACTTCTACATTCAAACATGCTTATACGAATCATTACGAATGAACAAAATCATATCAAATTTTCATTGTACTCTATTTCAATAATGTTTTGGAATATACTAGTTGTCAGGTTGGTTTTGTTAGATTGTTACCTATATCACGACAGTGTTCTTTCCATAGCAGAATTTGAACTTTTTTTTATATTTCGTGTCAAACGGAATTTGCTTCGTGCCCTAGTCAATCATTTTCTATCGAGCAGTTTCAGAAAAATGTTGTATCACTATAAAACTTGGACATTCTTGCCTGGAAGGTATAGAGAGGTTAGGAATTTGAATGTTCTTCAACTTCTTGAAGGTGAAGAGTTCTTGAAAATACTTTCCTAGGTTAAAAATTCAACAGCTTTGCCATTCTTTGAACAAATTAGTTAGAGAGGGAATTCTTGAAAATACTTCCCTAGGTGAAAAATTCCAAGGCTTTGCCAGGCTTTCGACAAATTATCTAGAAAAAGTGTTAGTTTTATTAATGTGAACCCCCCTTTATCTTTCTTGTTTCACACTCATCAAATTGAAGTTCATTTTATACAATTATTCATACAGATTCCACTCATATGGACAATGATGCAATATCTCTTCAAATATACAGGGTATACAGAATTTTTTTTTTTTCAAATGGAATGCGCCGTACATCTGGATAGATTTGGATTTCTCAATTGATTCTGATTTCAAATATATGATATGAGGGATTCATATCTATCCAATTATACAGAGCATTCCATTTAAAAAGTATGTATATTTTCTGAATTCCCTGTATATTTGAAGAGATATCGCAATGTCACTATTATTGGAACCTATATAAAGAATAATTATTATGATATAAAATCCGTATAAAATTATTTTTGATGCTTGGAAAACAAAACAAAAAAGAATAAGAGGGGTTCACAATTGATGATCACCCAATCGACAACCAAATTCCTTCAATGTTTCCTCAGATTGCGGATGGTTGGCAATATGGATATATACTATACACTTCATGTGAAAATCTTGTTGTATCTTCCTTAGGTGCCTGAAAGGTATTATCGCATACCTGAAACACAACTTCTCCTCCGCTCCTAGAAATTCTACATTATTGATATCTAAATAGACGTCATATTCTCATTCTCATTATAGATCTTCAGAAACATAACATATATTGTCCACAAATCCTATCATTGACAACTGAAGACTCTTTTTGTATACAGGGTGTCATTTTGAAATCTTCCCAGCCTCAATAACTTCCTTTCTGTAAATAATATGAAGAATCGACAAGATAGGTCAACTTCATTCACAAGTGGAACACATGAAATAAATCTTTTTAGCCCTCTTTGTTCAGCTCCCTAGGAGGAGTAGATGTTACCCTCAGAATCTCAGATGGAAAGGAGGGTCAAGTGGCACATTTTTCTGAAGGACGTTCAATTATCTTGCCAACGTTACCCTAGTCAATCATTTCCTGTCGGGCAGTTTCCGAGAAATATCGTGTTACTTAGAAAACTTTAAACCAATTATATCTCCCTTCCAGTTAATAATATAAAAAATCGAAGAGATAGGTCAATTTCGATGTCAAGGGGGAAACTTCGAATGCATATCTTTAGCCCTCTTGGTTCAACCTCCTACGAAGGAGTAGATATTACCCTCAGAACCTCATATGAAAGGGGCGTCAAGATGTACATTATTTTGGAGGGCGTTCAATTCTCTCTCCAACAGTACCCTAAATCATTAATTTTTTGATAAGCAGTTTCCAAAAACGCCGTTCTTGACAGAAGTAATTGGAACATGCCTGCACTGAGATCCATTCAAAATCTTCCTACCATTTGGACTGAAAGGGTCGATACAATAATACCAACCTGAAAACCATGCATATCAGTGCAGGCATGTTCTTATTGCAACTGTAATTGCAAAACGGCATTTTTCGGAAACGGCTCATCAAGGAATGAGAAACTAGGGTATAGTCGAGAAGGAACTTGAACGCCCTTCAAAATTATATGCATCTTGACCTCCCTTTTCATATTAGGTTCTAAGGGTAACATCTACTCCTTCTAGGAGGTTGAACTAAGAGGGCTGAAAATATGCATTGCAAATGTCTTCCTCAGAAATGGAATGTACGTGTCTTTTCGATTTTTCATATCAATTACCGAAAGGAAGATATTATCGGGTGGAAACTTTTCTAAGTGACACGAAATTTTTCGGAAACTGCTCGACAAAAGATGATTGACTAGGGTACCCCTTCCCATTCGAGATTCTAAGGGTAACATCTACCCCTCCTAGAGGATTGAACCAAAAGATTTAAAACTCATTATTTCAAGTGTCTCCCTTGAAAATGAAATCGACCTGTTTTTCTGATTTTCTATATTATTCACTGCAAGGAAGATATTGAGGGTGGGAAGTTTTCGAAATGTCACCCTGTATATACAGTGTGTCCCAAATTCGATCCTCACCATTGGGATCTCAGTAAGTATGAGAGATAGAGAAACTTAAATTAGCAAAGTTATAGCAAATTTATTGTTGAATTAGAATCTATCAAGAGAAAAAATGAAAACTTGTATTTTTGTTCATCTTGAAAATCTCGGAAACTATTGAATTTATGAAAAAAAGACTTCTACATTCTCTTAGCACTTTTTGGTGTTCTTTTCAATGGTTTTGTCAGTTTTCCATTAACATATCAAATATGTGAGATATCACCTACAAGTTCAATTTTTCTCACGGACGCCATATTGAATTTTCACAGATTTGGAATTAGCATAAAATCTCTTTTCTATTAATGTATCACAGTCACAGTTTTATCTCATAAGGAGTACTGATTTTCAATTTTTGTTTTTATGTTCAGTAGGCTATGCGCTAAACTCTTTATAAACAATAACGATAATGTGTTCTGGCACAACTTTCATGGAGTAGGCTTGGAGCCAAGTGACATTTCTGTGAACGTCAAGAAGAAATACAAGTTGATTATTTCGGAGCAAACAATGTAGTTCACCAAAACCAGTAACAGTACAAGGGTAAAGATCTGGTGATAATGAACGTCGTCTCGAATTTTGTCACTGGTTCGTCAACCAGTGTGAAGGAATTGATATCGATATCTCGAAAATCAATTTGGTGCTGAATTAATTACTACTCATGGACCTGCTAGATGGCCTCCAAGGTCGCCTGATTGTAAGCCTCTCGATTTTTACCTGTACGGATACGCCAAAACTAAAATTTATGGAGAGCCCATTCAAGATATTGATGATCTACGAAAGAGTGATGGACACATTCCAGCACATCAACACAGTTCATCTGAGAAAAGCAGCGAATCATGTTCGCTCGCAAATATTAAAATGTATTGAGAACAATGGGGGCCATTTCGAGCAGTTCAATTTTTTTTTTTCAGTATTTGTATTATCCACCTGCTAAGTTATGCAAGAACAGAACACAGATTCCATAATCTATGGTAAAAGTCATGGTGGAGTGAAGTAGTTACTAATAACACAACATAATGAATTGTCGTGGAGATAACTTCGAGTATTATTTATCAGTTACAGAAATCTGTTAAAATCCAATATGGCGTCCGTGGGAAGAATCGAAGTTGTAGGTGATATCTCACAAATTTGACATTTTGATGAGAAACTGACAAAACCATTGAAAAAAACACCAAAAAGTGCTATGAGAATGATGAAATCATTTTTTCATAAAATCAATACTTTCCGAGATATTCGAACCAAACAAAAATACAAGAAGCTAGCCCTGATTTCTCAATACATTCTGATTCAACATTGAATTTGCTACAACTTTGCTAATATAACCGTTTCTCTATCTCTCATAGTTACTGAGATCCCATTGGTGAGGATCGAATTTGAATCTCAAGACCTTCCACTTCCACAATAGATTTGTATTTTCTATCGAAATTTCACCTCGACTCTGAATTGCATCGATTACTCATTATTAAAAAGAAAATTAATATATTCTCGAATGTTCATGAAGACGGCAAACAGTGTTTATCCATAATGAGTACGACAATGGCTTTCCAATTTCTCATGTTGATACACTAAAACCATGATATTAATGTTTGAGAAACTTTAACAAATCGAAAGAAGAAGTCTGAATACTAATGTTCATTTATCTACAGGCGATACTATTTCTACTAAGTACCTGTGGTATCTTTGCCAAGCAAGCCCAGGAAAAAGAAGACAAACAAACCAAACGCTGGGCCACAGGTGAATCTCTGGGATACGGATCTGAACTATCTTCTGATCAAGGCTGGAATTCGCAGAATTCGGCTCTCTCCCTTGGATCAAATTCAGAACAATCGCACTTTTCGAACTTGGGACACTCCTATGGATCAAACTCAAACCAAGGATTATCTCTTGAATCGAATTCAGGATTCTCCCTTGGATCGAATTTGGGTCAGAACCCCCATTCATTAGGGCAATCCCTTCAGTATAACTTGGGAAATTTTGCTGATCTTGGACAAACTGTAACCCACAATACTGAAAGAGTGGCTATCCAAGTCCCACAGCCCTATCCAGTTCACGTTGAGCGTAGAGTACCAGTACCGGTAGCACATCCAGTACCAGTGCCAGTGGACCGTCCTTACGAAGTACCAGTGCCAAGACCTTACCAGGTCACAGTAGAGAGGCATGTACCAGTCACAGTCGACAGACACATTCCAGTACCTGTGAGAGTCCCAGTACATGTACAGGTTCCAGTACCGGTTAGAGTAGCAGTACCACGACCATACACTGTGACCGTGCCCGAACCAGTACCAGTTCGAGTACCTACACCAATTTTTGTTAGAGAAAACGTACCAGTATCAGTTGCCTCTGGTTGGAATTCCAATAATCAATGGGATGATGCCAGTTCGGATTTGGTTCAGATCAGATTATCTGAACCAAATGGTTGGTCTTCTGGATCTAATGGGTGGTCTTCTGGATCATCTAGTTGGTCTGGATCTTCTGGCTCTCAAGGATGGTCTGGTGCTTCAGGATCACCTGGATCATCCACATGGTCCAAATCTTCTGGATAGACTAGATCTTCTGGTTGGTCTGATTCTTCGAGATGGTGAAATATGTTTTGTACCTTGTAAATAACATGTATATATATATATGTATATATTCATCTGTCATGGAGCAGAGAGTGAGTATCTTTTTTGGATTGAGAAAATATATAAAATGTATAAATGTAGTTTCATTCAGGATTTCCTAGACTGTATGAACTGTAATAATAAATTATTGCATCACTAGAGTCAGATAAGTTGTGGTTTATACAATGGGGTTTATCCACTAGTCCAGTTTACTCCATTTCCCTAGTTAATGTTGATGTTTTTTTGCATTGATAGTATTCGATAGGTACAGTCGTTCATGAATCAAAACCCTCACAAATATTTATTTCAATGATGAAAATAACCACTCGAAAACACTAGCTCTTGATGACGTGATATACCGATAAGCACCAAGAGTGTCTACTTTCCACATAGAAATGAGAATTCACATTAGGAGTGTAGGAACCTACTGGGATACACACAATACAGGGTGATAAATCAGTTTAATCATCAGATACATCATGAGGGATCAAATAATTGAATCAATATTTCTTGAACCAGTTCTGAGGATTTGAATCGATTTCAATCACACCTGAATATTCTTGCTCAAGGTAGATTGCAAATTATTTCACATATTATCGATGATCAGTTTGATCTCTACATATTTGAATAATTAATGAAGTTTGGTTACACATATTCTTGCATAACAACCCGTCAGTGAATTACCATAGGAAGACTAATAGAATTCAAATTGGATTCTATGATGAATATAAAATCCACTGTTTTATGGATGTATGATGATATAAACTGTTGCAGTATGAATTCATCTTCACAAGATGAGAAATAATTATCAGTGTTGCCAGAGCTGGTACATGTGTATAGATTCAGTACACAATTCATACTTTTCACTACCTTAGAACATTTCGACAAATTCTGATACAATTTCATGTTTAGGTCAGTACATTCAACTCAAATTTAGTACAATTGGACATTAATTATACAAAGCTACAAATAAAAACAAAAGTATGAATTGAAGACAGATCTTCTGCTTATTATCTCTTCAGTTGGTCTGAATGAGCTGCTTATGACTATCAGCCAACCAGCTGGCTGACTATGATGAGAGACATCATTAACTTCAACTGTCACTACTGTCAGGGTACTGTACTGTTTTCTGAGTTTCTTCAAATATCTGATGTTCAGTCATACTTTATATGGATGATGCTGTATATATTTTGTATTTCTTAGCTATTCTGTGGGGATATCACCGTTGTGGGTTATTTTTTATACTATTTTTTATCTGATTTTACTTCATTGATAAAATGTAATCAATTTATATGGATGACACTGCATGTATATGTTTTTTATCTTTTTGGCAATGTACCTGATAGAACAAAGGAAAAAATAATAGTTTTCAACTCGAGGTTGTAGCGGAGGGAGAGAAAAAATCGAGCTAGAATTTAATATTTTTCTGGTGTAACTGGAATTGCACCTGCGTTGCAGGCATCTTTGTCATCCTTATGCTGTTCTGAAGTAATCAACTATCTGTCAGTCTATTTCTGTGATTTGGATGAAAAATAGTATATTATTCGACGAGCGTGTAATGATGTCCATTACTCATGAGAATGAAGTTTGCGACGTGAGCCGCAGGCGAACGTCGTAATCATTCGAATGAGTAATAGCCATTACACGCAAGTAGAATACTATACTTTTTCTATGACTGAGTGATGAACTGGTTGAGTTCATCAGCAGTGAATATCTTCGCTTTCTTTGACATATATCCATCAGATTTCCTTTTTAGAAATGCTCGTAATTTCAAATATTTGTCAATATTCACATAATTTTCATTGAAATTGTACTTCTTAGTATATGCATGGAATACTGTGACCACAAGGAGGATGCTTTGTGTTAAGCTGCTAATTCGCCAAAATATGCTAGTAGTACATTATCCGAACACGAATTTGCAAGTTTTGCTTTTCGCCAAACCACTTCATACCTTTTTTTAGATTCCTCGGGCAAAAGGCTAATTGTACTTGAATTGGAAGCTTTCAATACTTCTGATGGTGGAGAGCAGTTGAATTCATTTTCGCTTCCTGAATCCAGCATATTTGTACAAAAAGTCAGTTCTAAATCACGCCAGATAGCTATTGTCAAATTATGACATTTCATGACGAGTCTGATTCGAACGTTTCACTGCATGCCCCATATTATCATTGAAACTGGTGTCAACTGTTTTGTAGGTAATGAATCTGCTTTGTTGCTGATTGGCCATAGCCTGTTGTGTAAAGGCTCTTACACACGGGGCGTGGCTTGTTTTGTGTAATGCATCCAGTTACCCAACAAAAATGTTTCATTAAAAGGGTCTAGTTTTCAACAGTAATAAGAAAAATAAAAACTTTAGTGGTTATTTCGTAGTTTATATACGTAACCGTGAAATGAAGGATAAGAGGACTTTCAGTTCTTTCTCGGAGATGCTGTTATTGGCTTATTTTTCGGAAGTAGCTCAACAAAAGCCATGAGCAGTGTGTGTATATATATATTTCCAGGAAAAATGTACTCACTTTCGTCCCGTGGGAAAAGAGGAATTTTTGAAAAGTGTAAATTTTATAACATGTCAACAGAGGTGAAATGTCAAACTAAATTACCGTCACAGTAAAAAAAATCATCAATTTTTTCATCGAATTTTCCAAAATTTCATGTCTGATACATTTCACTTGGTTTTAGTTCAATTCAATAGTGATTTCAGTACAATCAGTTTTTTCTTCTGGCGATACTGATAATTATACTTCAGTATTTCATTGTATTTTATACGTTTCGGCAACAGACAACAATCGCTGCATATCTCCGGCAAAATAGTATAACATATGAATATTCTACTCATATTTTTGAGTAATGATCAAAATCTGCGAATTCCAACCTTGATCAGAAGATTGTTCAGATCCGTATCCCAAAGATTCAGCCGTGGCCCAGCGTTTGGTTTATGTGTCTTCTTTATATATATATATATTATTATTATATATATTGAATATCCAAAAGGAGAGCATGAAAAATGAAAAATCATTTGAAATTTTGAATTGACAATCTCTCAAATCTGATAAATATCATGATGTGATATAATATAAAGATATAACTTACCAAGATGTTCAATATTGAATGAAAATTGAAATGTATAGGAGAAGTATATTTGTATAAATTCTGATCTTGATGAGCTAGAAAGTTTCAAAACACTCATTCGTATGAGAATTATATTTCTCACAACAGGTTATAATATGATGTTATTCGAATCAACTCATCTCGGATATCGAACCCCCCAGCAAACATCTTGATATGGGGCATCAATGGCCTAGTATATTTTTCCCATACCTGACATCAGCGGCCCAGTAAATGGTCCCATATGCGGGACTCTATATATCAGTACACTGCGGCCGGCAGCTGGTCCCAGTGCTGGGTACCCAGCAATCATATTCAGTTCCCCGGCAAAAGGCCAGTACAACATAATCGACACATTGAGTTTCCCATAGCAAGCCCAGCATATACATAAATGATGGGACTGTAATGGCCAATTAACGACATTGGTTACATACTATCGCGGTAGGGGAGGGGTAGGGGTTTTAGGGGTCCAATGGATCTGAAAGTTCTAGTACCTCTTTATTTCACAACATAACCCTCTTATCATAAATCAGACACATACCAGATTTCAAGAAAACAATTTTATGAATGACACAATGATATCTTCTTAACCTCTCTGTTCTTCAACGATGAAACTTCTCGGAGTGACTGCTTACTGATTGGTGTGTGGTATCTACATCTTATTGGGTAGCATTCCTTCGAAGTTGATTCTTCGTTGTGGGGTACTTCTGAAATATAAAATGCATCATTTGTTTTATATTAGTGGTATATGAGTTGCATGAGTTTATAACTTGATAATATAGTCAAATGACGTGATAACATGGAGCTTTTCAATTCTTATTATGGTGTTGGCACAGGAAATTCTGTAGCTGAAATCTCATTGTTATTCAGATATTCAATATAGAGATGGGTTCACATAACCTGAGATTGCTTTTGATAGCAACAAACGAGTTAAAAATGATGGTTGCTTTTAGAGAAGTATATATAGTTAACTCCAATTATCATAATCATTAGGTGTATAAGGTTACGAGATACCAAACACATGCATCAAATAATGACATTCAAAACACTATGTAGGTACATTGATACTTACTCGATATTATCATAATTGAAGAATCTGTCTTCTATTATTATCAATTGAGAATACTCCTGCCATCATAAATAACCACCACGGAAAGAGAGGACCACATTAATTCGACATAAACAAACTAGTACGCGATCACCACTCACGAGAGTCAGCCATCTTAGTCACATATGATATTGATCAGCTGATTGTTGATGTAGACGTTCCCAAAACATCCGCCAGGGGGACGGGTAGTGAATATGAAATTGGCCAGCAAAGGGCCAGATCTCGTTAGTATTCAATTAGTTACAGACATCTCACCATCACAAGGCCATCATCGTATTTTTAACTGATGGTTACTTGGCATGGGGAAATCATCGGCCCATTACCTATACCCCGGCATCGTCACTTTCCCAGACTAACCTGCACTAGGCCGGACTTCTCCCGCTAGTTCAATGTTTGCTGGGCCTCCTCAGTAACCTGAAGTTCAGTTATTTTTCAATCATGAAATCCGCGACGTATCGATTTGAATAAAGTCATATACCTGTTCGTAAGAGAGAGAAGTCCCATATCACTGAACGGATGATTTTTTTCGAAGTTTCAAGCTCATCAAGGTCAGAGTTCATACAAGTAGACTCCTCTTGAACATTTCAATTTTCATTTCAGTACTGAACATATTGGTAAATCATATTTCGATATCATAATACATCATATCATTCATCAGATTTGAGAGATTGTTAATTTTCAATGTCAGAGGATTTTTCATCTTTCATGCTCTCCTTTTGGATGTTCAACAGATTCAATGTTCGACGTGTCAAATAGCAAGTAAAGTAGTTTTTTGTTGAATATC